ACTTTATTTCTTGAGTCTCGTGAATAAAATTTGATCGCGTTTATTTTAGTTGTGCGAACCTGATCGCCTCGTAAAACACAAAAAATCTAATTGTCTCAAAATTCAACAAAAATTGACTAGGTAGATAGATTTCACGATACGAATCCAATAGTGAGGTTCGTTTCGTCATCTGAGTTCTAAACTAAATTGAGTTTTCAAACCCACCGTAATGGCTAATTACCATTTTGACCTTTATAATAAAGTTTTAATTTTCTTGGGTTTTACATTATTTCCATTATAAAGAAATTTAGTCCCCGAAGTTACACACATTTGCACATATAACTAAATGCATATGCAACAAGCCATATAATGCTCTATGACTACAAGAAATTTACCTCTATCCTCAAACAAGAACGGGTAGGTAGCACAAAGAGTGTCCTCACTCTCTCATGTCACCTCCTCCATACCACAATGTTGCCACAGTACCTTCACCAACCTCACAGTCTTGCCACGTAAATCTGCTCTCGGCTATCCATGATACGCATCGGTCCCTCCTCGAAGGTCCCTTGTTGGTGTAACTCTTCTATCGGCTTTGAGTTATAAGAAGACGTTTTCGTCTCAAGTCCATCTTCTTTGAGGTGTCTCTGATCAAGTCCGGACTTGTGAAAAGTCCCTCTCTAACCTCCGTCCAACAAATCAAAAAACGACATGACCTCTCATATAATGCCTTATAGGGTGTCATCTACATGCTCACCCAGTAACTATTGTTGTAATCGAACTCTACTAAAGGTAAGTGCTCTTCACACCTACCCCTGAGGTCAAGCGGTACTCATCATCAATTGTGTCACCATAGCTCACTGAAAAATCTTCGAAAAGTGAGTCGTGAACATGAGATCCCGATCCGATACTATAAATACAGGTACCCTATGTAATCAGGCTATCTCCCGTATATACAACTTGTAGTATTCCTTCAATATGAAGGTCATCTGCATCGCAAAAAAGTATACTAACTTCGTAAGCTGGTGCATGATCACTCACACAGCGTCATGCCCACGCAAAGTTCATGGTAAGTGGGTTACAAAATCCATAGCGATGCATTTCCACTCCCACTCAGCCATTTCCAAAGGCTGTTACAACCCTGTTAGACTCTGGTGCTCAGCCTTGACTTGTTGACACGTGAGACATCTATTAACAAAGTCTCCGACTTGTCTATTCATCCCACTCCAATAATACTGATAACGAAGATCATGGTACATTTTTGTGCCGCCTGGATATACCACAAAATGGGAGCAATGAAACTCGCTGAGGATTTCCTTTCTGAGATCTATAAACTGGGGAACTAAGACTCTTCCCCTAAATCGAAGACTACCATCTGTGTGAATGAGCCAACCCTCATTACCTACACCAGACTGTACCTGGTCCCTGATAGACAATATTTATGTGTCCTATCCTTGGAACTCGATCACCCTGCTCAGTAAGGAAGGCATAGCCACTAGACCCCCCAAAGTGCCCTAAGCCTGACCTCCATAGTGTAGTCCAAATTGTCTCACAATTTCGAGCATCTGTCACTCTCGAAAAACTATACTAGCCAAGATTCCCCGTGACTTCCTACTGAATGCATCCACCACCATATTTGCCTTACCATAATTGTAATGAAAAATGAAGTCATAATCCTTTAAGTACTTCATTCGCCTACGCTACCTCATGTTGAGGTCCTGTTATGTGAAGATATACTTCAGACTCTTGTGGTCTGAAAATACCTCCAACTGCTCTCCGTACAGATTATGGCGTCATGCTTTCAAGGCAAAGATAATGACCGCCAACTCCATGTCGTGTGTGGAGTAGTTTTGCTGGTGGCTCTTTAACTGTCGTGAACCATAAGCCGTTAACCTTTGGCTTGTTTGTGTTAGCTGATGGCTCCTTTCTACCAATTTGTGGGAGTGATCTCCTTCCTACTAATTCTATGTCGTTAACCTTTGGTTTGTTTGTTCCTAATTTTTTTCTTTAACTTGTTATAAGTGAATCAGTTAATTAAGTCATTGTAGTGTTCTATAACCTTCCCTCCATCTTCTTGTGTTTTTTATGACCTCAAGACGAAAAAGGAGAGTAGATTAGAGAAGGAGAACAATGGCCTATACTATTTAGATTTTGGTCTTTTTGTTCCTGCTTTGAGTGCTACCTGTGTCTCCCTTCAGAGGCACTTTCGACTAGGTCAACCCCGCTTGCAAAAGTTATGTCAAGTTCTTCCTAGTTTGAGTTCTTCTTTTGTTTTAGAATGTTAGGCTTGTCAATTAGCGAAGCATCATCGTAATTATTTTTTTCCTAGTTAGACCTGTCAATGGACCGAATTTTAGTTCGAATCCGATCCGAAGTCAAATATGTTTATCCGAATATGGATTGAAATTTTAATCCATTAACCTGATTCGATCCGAATCTGATAAAAATCTAGGTAAATGGATTTGAATTTGGTTATATATTAATCCGATCCAGTAAGAATCTTATTCGTGTAAAATTATATATATAATATATATAAGTATATATATATATATAAACATATACACGTCTATGTATTAAAGCACGAAAGCCATATGACTCATTCTTTTCCCCTCTTTACCACCGCTCCTTACCCTTTTTTTTTTCTACTTTTTGTTGCTGAATTAGGTGAATAGATGATAAAATTAAATTAGAATTGTTGGAATTAGGTGACTTACTGATGAAACTAAACTAAAATTTAGCAATAATTTAGTGAAATTTTTTATTATTTGTCGTAATTTTATAGAACTTCAATTTATTCAAATGGGATTGGATGTTTGATTATTAATAGATTTAAATTCAAATTATGATTTTGATATCCGTCCGATTTTTGGATCGAATTCAGACTCGATTTTTTAAATGAATTTGGATTTAGATTGATTGAGATCTGGTCTGAATTTGATCCGTTGACAGGCCTACTCCTAGCTCATCAAACCGTTAGTCTAGTCCATTTCATATTGCTCATATAGACATTTGGGGGTCCTGCACAAGTCAAAAGTATTTCTAATTTTTAGTATATTAAGATATTTGTTGATGATTTCTCTAGTATGACTTGATTATTTCTTATGAAAGACCAATTTGAATTACACAAGGTCTTTAGTTTAATTTGATGTTCGCATTAAAGTTCTCCGGTCTGACAATGCTATTATACTCAATTATTTATGAAAACCTTTTGTGCTGACCATGACATTATTCATCAAAGCACTTGTCCATATACCTCCCAATAAAATAGCGTTATCGAACGTAAAAATCGTCATTTATTAGATGTTGCTTTCACCATAATGTTTAACATGCATGTGCCAACATCATATTGGACTGATGTTGTTCTTATTGCAGTTTATGTTAAAATCGAATGTCTTCCACCATTTTTGGACAGTAAGTCTCATTTCTAGTTGCTCTATCTTGGTAAACCGTCATTTAGGCTCACTACTCGTGTATTTAGTTGTTTACATTTGTTGATCTTCTTAGTGCGGCTTGAGATCACTTGCTTGACCATACAACTGTACATACTTGCTATTACAGGGAGTTCATCCATCCACAGATTCCTCAGCTACAGATACTCGGATATTCTGGGAGTCCTACAGTCTTATATACGTCAGAATAATGTGCAAGTCGCTGGCTAGTTTGAACAAAACGGATTACAGCTGAAGAAATGGATAGATGGAGTCATAGGTGTTGCCGTTATATCTGATTCTCATCACCATCTTTGATGCCACTCTCGCCATTAGAACCATCACGATTACGGTGTCATCATCTTTTGGTTTTATCTCTTGATAAATCTACATATTATCCACAAACACACGTCCAGTCAATTGCGTTGTGTCATATATTTCACATTTACGACAATTCATATAATATTATTTAATATTTTTTAAAAATTAAAAATGATCTCTTTTGTGTTTATAATACTCGTTAAATAACTATTTTCTGTCTACAATTGTGTTGTTCGTATATAACTTTAATTTGCTCGAATAATCAAAAGATTTGTGTCTAACTGTAGACAAAAAAATATCTTTTTAATGAGTATTATAGGAAAAAAATAAGTATTTTATAATTTTTTAAAAATTTTTAAAAATAATTTTTTATTGACTCAAACACGACACGAAGATGTTATAATACGATACAATTAAGATTTATTTAACGAGTATTAATGAATTAAATTCTTGTTAGATCATAAATATGAAATATTTAAACTTTGATGGGTCTAATTTAAGATTAACCCAAACTTTTTTAACGGCAAAATAGACGAAGTTAGCCACAGGTGCACATTGATACGAATTTATTTCTTTCTGAATATAAATTGAAATTTTAAATTTTAAAGGTACAAATTAAGATTTAGTGATCTTTGAGTGCAAGATTAGCCCTTTAGGGTGTGTTTGACAATTCATGGATGGACAAGAGTAGTTTGGATTTAAATCCCAAACCAATCCAATGAAATCCCAATGGGTAGGATTTGTAGGGGGATAAAAATAATTTGTGTTATCCAATCCCTTCTTTGGATAGTGAGTTATGACGTGGTTGAAATATGGACAAATTACATTAATTGACCAGTTTACCCTTGAATTATATCTCTTTTGTTGGCTTGAGGACTGTTGGTTACCACTTTAATATTGTGAAAAATATAAGAATGCTTATGTATTCACCAAATACATGCTATTAAACGATGATTTAATAATATAAGTTTATAAGTCGTTCACAAATTTATATCATCCACCAAAGATATTAAAAAAATTAGAAAAAAATGATTGAATATACGAGAAAATATTTCACAACCCAAATTCACATGAACCATAACATTAATTAACCATATATTTATTTTTATAAAAAAAAAGAAGAAAATTTTATTTCCAATCACCAAAAAAATTACAAGAAGCAAAAGGAAAAACCCTATACAAACCTCCTTCAAAACATGTAAAAAAAAACAAAACTTCTCTTAAAAAGAAATTTCTATACAAAATCCTTATATAAAATTCTATACAAAATCCCAGTGCCTGCTTTCAATGTCATCAATGGTGGATCACATGCAGGAAACAAACTTGATATGCAGGAATTTATGATTCTTCCTGTTGGAGCATCCACTTTTAAGGAGGCCATGAAGATGGGTGTGGAAGTATTTCACCACTTGAAGGCTGTGATCAAGAAGAAATATGGTCAGGATGCAACAAATGTTGGTGATGAAGTTGGCTTTGCTCCAAATATTCAGGAGAACAAAGAGGGCCGTGAGTTGCTTAAGACAGCCATTGCTAAAGCTGGTTACACAGGCAAAGTTGTTATTGGAACAGATGTTGCTGCATCTGAATTTTACGGAGCAGACGAGATCTATGATCTGAACTTCAAAGAAGAGAAAAATGATGGATCACAGAAGATTTCGGGGGCTCAGCTTATAGAGATGTGCAAGTCATCTAAACTTCTAATCTAAGAATCGATGGATATGTTTTTATCTTATTTGGAAAAAAAAAACTTAAACACGACACGGAACAAAAACAGAGCAATGCAGACAGAGCACCGAACAACGACCAATGACATTGCTCAAGAACGTCATCACAAATGACCCTTGTCCCAGTTCAAACCAAAAAAAAATACCATCCCCTTTCATTTTTATTGCAAAAAATTAACATTTTTTTAAAGAAATCAAAATTTATTTCATTTTTCAAAAAAAAAAAAATTTACAAGAAGCAAAGTATTGAGTTCATATAGCTTTTGCATTAATTATCCAGGAGCCAAGACATACCCAGATGAGAAAAAATATGATGCACCAATATTTTTAGCAAATTTTAAACTAGGATCAAAAGAGAATGTGATCAGAGTTGACAGAGATACAGAGTGTTGCCAATTCATGAACTTCATCTAAAATCATTTTCTCTAATCCAGCAGCTTCACCCATTCCATAATCAAGTTAAAAAATATTTATCAAGACCATCAAACATTCAAGAATTCAGACAAACATAAATATATAAGATTATATGTTAGTTCAAATACACAAACAAATTAGGTGGTGGCAAACCAGTAGCACCATTTATACAGACTAGATTTTCAACATTTTTTTCTGGTTTCTATCCATGGCTACAAAGCTTGAAGAGAGAGAGAGAGAGAGAGAGAGAGACGGGCATACCTTCGCTTGTGAGGGGGGACCGGTGGGTGAGCGTCGTTCACTTGTGATGGGGGGACCTGTGGGTGAGCGCCGTTCGAAGCAAAGGGGGACCGGTGGGGTGAAACTGAAAAGAAGGGAATAAAAATCCTAGTTTTTTATTGTACAAGGGTATTTAAGTAAATATGTAGATATCATGTTGGATTCACTAGCAATCCCAAACTTCCGGTGGAATCTAAAAATCCGGCTCAGAGGGGATATGTGTCCTCAAAACATTCGGCCCGATCTTTTGAAGGCAACGAATATCCCCTCCTCAATTCTCTTGCCAAATCAATGATAAGTGGGTCCCCTAGATATTTATACTCCAATCGCTCTTGGTATCCGCCTTTATCTGGCGCCCCAAACACCCCCTTATAGTATAGGATATGACTTGAGGAGTCTGAACTCTCTTGATGCAATTTTGAAATATTTTGATGCACGAAAGGAGATTTCCATTGAAAGATGTCAAAGTTTAGATGCACACAAACTTCAGTTTGGTCTCTGACTATTTTCTTTTTGTCAACAGCTTTTATTTGACCTTATTTGTTTACATAATTTATTGATATAATTTATCATAATTATTGAATTAATTGTTGGCACCTAACCTGTGTGTGTGTGTGAGAGAGAGTGAGAGAGATTTTTTATTTGAGATGGACTGTTATAGAAAAGCCAAAAACAACCCTTTTTTAAGATCACGACTCTTGGAGCGGTTGAAATTGAAATCTTAATTAGAAAGTTAATAAGATAAAAACATTGAATTAATAGAAAGTAGTTTTTTTTTTCCCTTCCACTGGGATGGTAAGGCTCTTGATTGCGTATGAAATACCTCTCGTGACCGGACTTAATTAAAGTAACATAGCGATCAACTATCAGATCTTAATGGAAGCTCTAAAACTCAAACTTCTAATCTCACGATAAGAAGTAAGACTGATATTCTACTAGACCACCTTGGTGGTGAATTAATAGAAAGTGATTTGATATTTATAATTGTAATAATTTTATCCACCTATTCAAAAGAAAAAATCATACTTAATTGTGAGACTGGTACCCACAGACCACCTTGGTGGTGAATTAATAGAAAGTAGTTTGATATTTATAATTGTAATAATTTTGTCCACCATCAAGAATGAACTAGTAGGGGAAAGTACTGTGACTTTCATTTGTAGGTAACAATTACAAATGAAAATTTAATGATAAGGTGGGTAGTTAATGATAAATTAATTTTTAATTTAATAATATTAAAAAATTTTAATAATTAAAAATATGTTGCTCCACCACTGCCTAAAATATTCTTTGTATGAGATCTTACTAAGTATGGTGAGCAAATATTATTCTATCACTGAGCAAAACAACAAAATGACACAAAACAAAATAAGATAATAAAATGATTTCTCTCACTTATAGAATGTTTTTTTCCTTTTTTTTTTGGGGGGAGGGTAAGTAAGGTTTTAGGATGTGAACAAACACCATAAGCTGATTATAAACATTTTATGTTCACATTTTCTCTAGAATGCTAAAGTTGTGGAAAGTAAGTTGAGAGTCTGAGAGAAACCAAGGCTGCGCATGGTTCATGAAGTGGTGGTTTAAAAGTTTGACGAGTTGGTGGGCGCAGAGTAGAATGGTTGGTGAGTGCTTAGAATCTTTCATAAAAAATCTCTCTCTCTCTCTCTCTCTCTCACACCCACAACGCCTTTTTCTTTTTCTTTTTTGGTTCCCACCGGTGTTATTTGCCGACAGAAGTCAGAAAGCTTCATAATTTTTTCTTGGTTTGACGGGAGGGTGAGGTTCTTGTTAATTTAGCTATATTACCAAAAAAAAAAAATGTTATTGTATCTAATTGGAAGATTTAACTTAAAAATCTAATTAATTACAAGTGTTGAGTTAAAAGGGAATTCAATTTAACATTCAAACTCACAACTGAGTCAACTACTAGCACAATTAGAGACTCCAAATTTATACTTATCCCAACTACGAAGAGAGGATGTTTTCCCCAAATTTAGTCCTCCTCAAATCTTAATTTCAAAATCAATCCAATTTTGAACTAATTTCTCAAACTTAATTTTCTTTTAAAAACGTCATTTGAAATGACGTTTTTAAATGTTAAAACGCTATTTAGAATGACGATTTAAAATTAAAATTATTTTCCTAAAAATGTCATTCTTAATGACCTTTTTAAAGTCGTCATTTATAATGACGTTTTTAAACATTAATTTTTAAACAACCGCTAACAGATATTAAAAAAAATAAAGGGGCAGAAAACATCATTTACAATGACCTTTTTAAAAACGTCATTATAAAACAATGACGTTTTCTACCCCTTTATTTACAATAAAGTTTTAAAAATGTCTTCTTAACCTTTTACAATGACTTTTTCTTAGCCAAAAGTCTCCAACCAATTTGTAATAAATTTCATAAAAGCCATTTACTCCATCTAATTTCTCACATCATGATTCACCAGACAAAATAAAAAAAAATAAAAAAATTTAGAATTTAATTTTGTTTTCATAATAATTTTGAACTTATTTAATAATCAAAAATAAAATTCATAAAAGCATAATTTAAAGAGAGAATGATCCAAGTTCTCTAACTGAATTCCCCAGCCAATTTCAATACATATTAAACCCAACTATTAAAATTTCAAAACCATTTTAGCTTTAAACAAGCCATCATGAATTTAATTCATTTCACCTACTAGTTAAGTAGTTATTCTTCAATAGCAATGCTTCCTCACAACATCACAAATAGAGGAGACTTGAAGCTTTATCTATGATGATCATATACCTTAAAAAAATAAAAAATAAAAAAGAAGAAGAAGCAAAAATACCACTCATTTCTTGTACATTTTGAAGCTGTGATACATAGAATTTAATTTTTCATTATTTATCTTTATATAAGTGTACCCCAAGCCAAAGAACAACAAACACTAATAACAGCCTCCATGCAAAAAGGCTTTACATCATCATACAGGTTGTATGTACAAAACTCTTTTCCATTCATCTTCCTCTGTCAAACTCTTCACAAAACATATTGTAGCCAAACCACTCTCTAACCCTTTTTCTACTTTCATCCTCTTCTTTTTATTCACTGTATTGTATGTTAGGTGTGTTGCCCATATGACATGTTGGCATGTTGTTCAAAGATTATTTTCTGCAAATATATCCGACAGAGAGAGAGCCTGTAAAATCCAAAACCAGCAATAGATATGTGAAGGATACAAGCAATAGAAAATTGCTGGAGTAATGTACAAAAGCAGTACAAACAATCATGAAAAAACAAAGCATCCTTATGGAATACTATTTACCATCAAATATTTGTACCTAATGCTATGCAGAGGGTCCTTTTATTGAAATTTGGATGTTACATTCTCCTGAAGGCATCCACCATCTGATTTGGTATCACCTTTGTTGTATAATTAATGACAAGTTCGATTTTCACACTCTCAATGATAGCAAAAGTTCAAAAAATGCAACTTGTGCCCTAATTTGTAGGCATATTTTGTGTTGATCCTGAACGTTTTATCATCTCAATTTTTATTTTTTGATCCTAAACGTTTTATCATATCTCTTTCTCAGATCACTCTTTATCGCATCTCCCTCTCAGATCACTCTCTCAATCAGATCCCCTCTCTTGATCAGATGACCTCTCTTAGATCAGATCCCGTTTCTCTTGCTCAGATCCCTCTCTCAAATCCCATTGTCCTCCTCTTCTGCCATCCAGTCGCAGCCCCCCATCTTCTCCGACGAGGAGCATCGATTTTGCATCCTTCTCCAACCACTAAGCAAGACTCTTCTCCGACGAGGAAGTCCAGTCCATCAAAGACTAGTCCGACGAGCAAGACCAGGGCGAAGGTCATCGAGCTCATTACGTAGCTCGAGGCGAAGAATCCGACTCTTGCACCGACGGAGGCATTGACTTTGCTAAACGACAAGTGGATTATAGCGTAAGTTTTAATCATCATTGCATTAATTAATTGTTTCATTATAATTTAATTTAATTTATTTATTTTTATTTGTTAGTATGATCCACATGGTTATTCTATAGCCCTGAGTTGTGAGCAATAAGTGTGGAGAACTTGAAACAGGCACATAACCCACGTGTTTATGTTGTTAGGTAGCTTTAAATGAAGTACCATGTTAAGGCCTAACTTTGTGAAATGTTTTCAATAATTCAAGACCAATCAAGGCATCATGTGAGCTCTACTTACCCAAATTAGTTTCATCTCATACTTTTAAATGTGAAATCCTACACCATCATTATGGGATATGAAATGAAATTACAACATTCAAGTGTAATTTAGTTGGATTATTGTTAATAATTTTGTCCCACAACTGAAGAATTGTGTGGAGAACAGAGAAGTTGCATTGACAAAAAATAAAGATTGAGATGATAAAACGTTCAGGATCAGCACAAAATATGCCTACAAATTAGGGCACAAGTTGCATTTTTTGAACTTTTGCTATCATTGAGAGTGTGAAAAACGAACTTGCCATTAATTATATAGCAGAGGTGATATCAAATGAGATGGTGGATGCCATCAGGAGGATGTAACATCCAAATTTCAATAAAAGGACCCTCTGCACAGCATTAGGTACAAATATTTGATGGTAAATAATATTCCATAAGGATGCTTTGATTTTTCATGATTGTCTGTACTGCTTTTGTACATTACTCAAGCAATTTTCTATTGCTCGTATCCTTCACATATCTATTGCTGGTTTTGGATTTTGTAGGCTCTCTCTCTGTTGGATATATTTGCAGAAAACAATCCTTGAACAACATGCCAACATGCCATATGGGCAACACACCCAACATACAATACAGTGAAGAAAAAGAGGAGGATGAAAGTAGAAAAGGGTTAGAGAGTGGTTTGGCTACAATATGTTTTGTGAAGAGTTTGAAAGAGGAAAATGAATAGAAAAGAGTTTTGTACATACAGCCTGTATGATGATGTATAGCTTTTTTGCATGGAGGTTGTTATTAGTGCTTGTTGTTCTTTGGCTTGGGGTACACTTATATAAAGATAAATAATGGAAAATTGAATTCTATTTATTACGGCTTCAAAATGTACAATAAATGAGTAGTATTGTTACTTTTTTTTTTTTTGAGGTATATAATCATCATAGATAAAGCTTCAAGTCTCCTCTGTTTGTAATGTTGTGAGGAAGTATTGCTATTGAAGAATAACTACTTAACTAGTAGGTGAAATGAATCAAGTTCATGATGACTTGTTTAAAGCTAAAATACTTTTGAAATTTTAATAGTTGGGTTTAATATGTACTGAAATTGGTTGGGGAATTCAGTCAAAGAACTTGGATCATTCTGTCTTTAAATTATGCTTTTATAAATTTTATTTTTGATTATTAAATAAGTTCAAAATTATTATGAAAACAAAATTAAATTCTAAAATTTATTTAAATTTTTTTTTTTTGTCTGGTGAATCATGATGTGAGAAATTAGGTGGAATAATTGGTTTTTATGAAATTTATTACAAGTAGGTTGGAGACTTTTGGCTAAGAAAAAGTCATTGTAAAAAGCTAAGATGACGTTTTTAAAACTTCATTGCAAATAAAGGGGTAGAAAACGTCATTATTAATAAAGGGGGTAGAAAACGTCATTGTATTATGGTCATTGTAAATGATGTTTTTGCCCCTTTATTTTTTTTAATGTCTGTTAGCGGCCATTTAAAAATTAATGTTTGAAACGTCATTATAAATGATGTTTTTCGGAAAAAAATTTCAACTTTAAATTATCATTCCAAATGACGTTTTAACAACTAAAAATATCATTTCAAATGACGTTTTTAAAAAGAAAACTGAGTTTGAAAAATAAGTTCAAAACTAACTTAGTTTTGGAATTCAGATTTGAGGGAAACTGGGTTTGGGGAAAACCTCCTCCACTTGCCTCTCTTTTTATTCTTCCTTTTCTTTCTACCCAATTGACCCCACATATTGTATTTATAGATGTGCACAGTTGACATCAGCTTCACCAATGTATTCCCTAAGGAGTAATGTGACTTGTACTTAATTTGCTGAATTACTAAAAATAATCTAATTCATTGTAGCCATTGTATTTATAAAACATCTCAATGTTATAGGGGGTCCATTATCAATTTAACAACCGTAGTGAGTTATGTCAATAATTAATATATAAGTGTATGTATGAGAGAGAGAAATTAAAATTGATTTGTTGTTAGATAAAACTCTTTTGTTTGTATTTTGTCAATTGGGTAATTTTGAAGTTTTTATAGAAGGTCTGTGATTGATGAAGAGAATCCTACTTTTGTTATTTTCAATTTTTTTTTAAGTATTGTTGTGATTACTCTCGGTTTTGGTTTATGTATTGAAGGTTTCATTTTGATCGATTGATGTAAAAAATCTCAACTTGAACCCAATCTAAATTTAGCCCGAGCCCGTCTAAATTCAACTTGAGCTAGTACTTCGGGTTAATGTCGGTTAGAGTTACAGTTAAATATTATATACTTATGGTTGAGCTAAGGTTGACCCTTCAACCCGCTTGAGTTGCACCTCTACAGCTATCTAGACAACCTGCACAATCAACATCTGAGTCCTCTTTCAATGAAATTGATTGATCCATGAAAAAATTGAAGACCATAACCAAGAGTGTCTTTAAGGTATCGTAAAATCTTTTTTACAGCCCGATGATAAATATTAGTATGATTTTGCATGTTTCTGAGAGACACAGTTTACTGCAAAGGCAATATCTGAACGAGTAAATGTTAAATACCGAAGAGAGCCAACAATCTATATAATAAAACAGAAGTGTGTTTGAATTTTATCTCAGTCATATTTTTTTCCCTCAAAATCATCATCAATCACTTACTTCATCCATCATCCATTTGTCAGATTCAAACGACAAATCACATCACTCATTTCTATCACATATATAATCATTTATATATTTCCTCCTTAAAAATATTACATCACTCATTTCTATCATATATTTAATTTTATATTTTATCGTGCCTTCAAACACGGGTTATGACTAGTATTACCATATTAGATAAGAATATCAAAACGTGTTTTACATCTATAAAATAACATCTCTCAAACTACTCTATGATCCTTATGAGCCTTTTCATACATTGCTAATTGATTTGAGTAAAATGCTTTAACACAACTTTATTATAGTATTATACTTTTGATACACAACTAATATAAATACAATATATTATCATTGCAAGTCTAAAAAAGATTTCCAAGACGAGGAACACATAAAACACTGGTGCATGTCTTTGGTAGGAATGCACCCTCCGACTTACTAATATTCTAAATCAAAAAGAAGATCTCCAAAGAGGGGAACACATAAATGGCATCTAGGTTAAACCCAAGTAGTTAACTTTATTATAATGCTACGGACATGGAAATCTAGTGGTCAGCTTGAATTAATTCAATTGTAGACCAGCCAGAAAAGCTTCATGTTGTCACAAAAACTAACTTTGCATGGTATGTGCATGCTCTTGTATCTCCTTCCAAGCCTTGTTCACATGGCAATAGTCTGTAAGTGTTGCTCCAACAGCAAGCCTTATCACGTATACTCCCCCAACCACAGCATGTGTCATGTACACTCTCCCTGCTGCATTAATGGATTCCAAAAGCTTGCTGTTGAATTCATTTGCATCTTCTTCACCTAAAAGCTTCTGATTAGCATTTGCCACCATTAATGGAGAAACCCGAAAACAAACCATTGCAAAATTTCTAGGCACCACGACCTCGAATCTCTTGTCCATGGCTATGAGCCCTTCAAAATGTTTAGCCATTTTTACATGACCCCTTATGAATTTTCTGAGGTTTGATACTCCATAGCTTCTAAGAACGAACCATATCTTCATTGCTCGAAATCGTCGGCTCAATGCTATTTGCCAGTCTTTGTAGTCCACCACTTGGTTTGAATCAGAAGCCTCGTTCTTCAAAATCTCAGGATCAGTTGAGAGAGCTTTGATTAGGGCACTTGGGTCTTTTAACCAGAGGCAGCAACAATCCAAAGTGGTCAAGAACCATTTATGTGCATTGAGGCTAAATGAGTTAGCACCGTCAATGCCATGAAGAAAATAGTGGAACTCTGAGCAAATAAATGCACTTCCTGCATATGCAGCATCAATATGAACCCATATATTATAGTCTTTTGCTACATCACATAATGGCCCCAATGGATCAACTGCATTTGATGAAGTAGTCCCTATAGTGGCACAGAAAAACAATGGAATTAGCCCAGATTTAATATCTGATTGAATTGCTGACCTTAGTGAATCGGGAGACAACCCAAATGCAGTAGACTTTGTGGTCATGAGAGATCGAATATTCGAGGGGTTAATGCCTGCAATTTTAGCAGCTTTTTGGAGTGAAAAATGGGTTTGATCAGATTCATAAACAACAAGCTTCCCCATGTTTTCTCTCCCAATTTTGTTTAACATTTGGTCCCTGGCGGCAGTGAGTGTGCACAACATGGCCTCACAAGTAGTTCCTTGTAGGACACCACCACCGCCACCAGAGAAAAGAAATGAAGTGGGAAGGTTTAGCAATTTTCCAAGCCAATCCATCACTATGCTTTCTAGCTCTGTTGCAGCTGGTGATGAAATCCAATTGAACCCAACGACATTAAAGCCAGTGCTAAGCATTTCACCAACAAACCCTGCAATACTTGCATTACACTGGAAATGAGCAAAGAAGTTTGGACTTTGCCAATGTGTTAAACCAGGTATGATATCCTTTTGCACATCTTGCAAAATAGTTTCTATGGGTTCAGGCTCATATGGAGCAATTTTTGGTAGGCATTTTCGGAGATAACCTGGTTCAACTTGGCTTCTAACTGGATATTTCTCAACATTTTGGTAGTAGTCTGCAAGGAAGTCTACAATCAAGTGGCCTTGCCTCCTGAATTCATCAGGGTCTAAAGGATTCATGGTGGTGTTGAGATGGTCATTTAGATCATGATTCACTCTGGCTGTACCCATTGGGATCAAGTTGAGGTTAGGTGATTTTCTTGGTCGGAAGTGGGCTGGTTTCTATGCAGCAACGAGATGTCCTTTGGAAGAAGAAAATGGAGAGGAATAGTGAAGTTTATGCAGTACTCAATTGAAAATATAGCTGATATTTATAAGACTTTTTGGGCTGGTACTGTCTACCCCCCACGCCCTTGTCACCTCAGGGCTAAGGGGTTGAAACAGGACCAATACGAGTTGTTCAGCGGTATGAAGTTGAAGTTGAAGTTGATTCTGAAAGAACTACGAACTTAGACATCTTGGTCCAATCTTCACTGACTTGTGGGTGTAAGTTCTTTGTCACAGGTGGAAACAGTCCACTTTAGTTGGGTACCATGTGAGCCTCACGCCGTACCGAAAGCAAGTCTACAAAACACTTATTCTAGTCTGCTAGTGAAATCCAATCTGCAGTCCCACTCGCAAATCAGTTGTTTTCATTTAGCTCCTATCTGTAAAAGAGAAGAAAACACGGTAAGATGATGTTGTAAAATTTAATGCTATCCATGATATTCGTAGGCTAAATTCTTAAATTCGTCCTCACATGTCAATAGGATAAATATAATTGATCGTGATATTCTATAAAACTCAGTCTCTTTTTTCACAAAGAATAAAATAAACTGGTGGATTAACTTAGATTACCAAATGCAAATCAACATGAGGTCAAAAAAAAAAAAAGCAATCCACATCGGGTAGGTTAAGGAAACCAAGTTGAGTTCAAATTCAAAGCTCGGAATAAGCTGTTTTGAACTTACGATTAAATTTTTGGATGTAGTTTGAACCCACATGAGAGGTCGAAAACAACTGACATTAGGTAAGTAAGGACACCAAGTTGAGTTAAAATTCAAAGTTCGGTACAACCTACTTTGAGCTGGAACTTAAATTTTTGAGGTAGGTCTAAGTTGAGCTGAATATGAACCCAGATTCTAGCATGATAAATTGGATTCCTATATATCCACCCATTTGGTATCCCCGTATGGCAATTAACAGTTGCTCCTAGGGTGGGCAAATAAGGCTTAGCTAATTGTACTACTATGAAGTTGTCTTGAACAATTAGAATTTGACCTGATTTTATGTGTGATCCATTTTTGGCTATCAATACATTTTCAAGAATAAATTGTTAAAGACCAGTTATTGTAGATGTCTCTTCACAATTATTGTGATGGAGCAAAATACCAATTCAAATTGAATGGATTCAAAATGATATTATTGTGTGGATCTGGATTATGAGAAGGACAACCAAGGACCCATCTTTGTCATCTTTCAGCAAGAAGAACACCTGTATTAGTAGTGTCCACACATGTAAACACATACTGACATAGTCACCCAAATGGTTTGTTGATTCTGAATGGTGGAGCCGTCTACAGTATAGACATTGGTTTTTCTGTATGGTACCAAAAAATTAATGTGCACTGTCGATGTATCTAACAAATAAAATGAGCCGCTGACCAATTTGTCCTTTCATTTTTTTTTTCCAAAGAGTAACCAATTACTTGCTATAACCATTTAATAGACAAGACAAAAGAGTGAAGTGACTTGTCAAATAGGACATCGTTATTAGTATTATTAGTTCGATTAAAATATACTACAATATTGTTACTATGATGAAGGGCTTTTTTACAACTTCAATGGATAAAATAGTTTGGTCGATATTATGAGAATAGTGGATATTATAGAGTTACTATGCATTTAAAGGTAAATTTACAATGGAAATGGAATTTATTATAGTCGATTTTATAACATATGTGGAAATATTTACAAGTGGGTGAAGAACTTTTATCACTCTTTGTCAACAATTTTGATAATTGAGGATAAAATTACAACATAATTTAAATCGTTGTTCATCAGGTTACTAGTTTATAGGATAGTTTGACAGCATTTGTGAATAAATTAAAATCCTTTAAGGCAAATTTACCATATTTTTGATTAGGAGTGTGAGAGTTGTAAATGTTTTTACAAGTCAAGAGGAACATTTACTACCTGCGTAATGATTAGATTTGATAAAGATAAGGAAAATTTACATTGTTTGATGAAAATTTAACAACATTAATTTGTGAATAAAGTTATAAGTATTTGAGAAAGATTTACCAGTTTTGTTGTCCTAAATACCAGATTTGTGGCCCCAAATACTAGATTTGTGGATGAACTTACAATAAAGTAGAGTATTTACTACTTCTATAGTACATTTTACGACATTTGTGGGTAAGTTTATGACCCTTAAGGGTACTTTTATAAGGCAGGTGGGGTAAATTAAAACAAGAATGGTTTACCACAAAAGGGGATAACACTAAGATGGTTAAGGTACATTTTACTAGAGTTCTAGGGTTTGTTTCGATGGTTTTCGATAAGTTTACGAGTTCTGCACCCAAATTTTAGGTTTAGATTGATTAATGTTACAACAAAAGTGGTGGATATTACAAAGGTATATGTACATATATAACATTTATGGGAGTTATTATAATAGTTTGTACTACGAATATGGTGAAATGGGATATTCATAGTTTACAACCATAATGGCTAGATTTCATATAGGAAAGAAAAATTGATGTCATTTAAATTGTTACGATAGTTATGAATAATTTACAATTACTTAAAGAAGATTTACCAGTTTTGTGGATAAACTAACAAATGTACTACTTCTATGGAATAGTTTACGATATTTGTGGGTAAGTTTATGACACTTAAGGGAACTTTACGAGCTAGGTGGGTTAATTAAAACTTATGAGGAAGGTTTTACCTCAAAAGGGGAAAACTATAAGATGGCAAATGAACAGTTTACTAGAGTTCAAGGTTTTGTTTCGATTGTTTTGAATAAGTTTACGAGTTCCTACAAAAATTTTATTTCTAGGTTGGTTAATGTTTTTTTTTTTGGATAAATAAATAGGAAGCTGTATTGATAAAAAGTAAATGTACAGAGTTACATTCAACCCTTAAGGGAAAAGACCAAAACAAAGAAACATGGAGAAGACAACAACAACCTATAGTCATTCCATCAAAAGCAGGCAGAGGAAATCTAGGAGGGCTGCATTTTGCGCTCCCCACAGACTACACAACCTGTAAACAATGTACAAAAAATACATCATGTGCAAAAACAAGAGCTTGGAAGTTGCCAAGGAGAAGTAGCCAGTCTATGAAGAGGAGTGTTCTTGATTTTGACTGAGAGGAGCCTACTTCTCACCATATTCAAGACAGTTAACTGGGTAATACCTGGATCTTTATACTCATTAGTGAAAATTCTATGATTTCTTTCACCCCATAAAAAATAAACAATGATAGCAAAGCAAAGTTTTCTAATGGAATTTTGCAGATTCTTGCCTTTCCATTGGGTGGACATAGCCTCAATGAGACTCTGCCAAGAAGAAGATTGTCATGGCCAATCACACATATTGATGACATTCCTTCAAACACTCTTTGAGTAAGAGCATTTAAAGAAAAGATGGGAGTGGGATTCTTGATCAGCTCTAAAAAGCACACAGGTAGTTCCACTATTGGGTGTAAAACTATGGATTCTATCATTTGTGACCAGCCTACACCTAATAGCAAGCCAAAGGATAAAGCTGGATCTAGGAATGCATAGATTGAACCAAATAAGATGGTACCATAGCACCTCTAGTTTGGTGGTCCTAATTAGATTCCAAGTTGCATTTATTTGGGGAAGCCATTTGAACTCATCCTTTGTATCCATTGTTGGGGAGTAATTGGGGATAATCAAGATGATCTCCTCAATAACTTTAGAGTTTCTAGGATTTACTGAAGGCCACCTCCACTGGTTACCTTGGATAATGGAGGCAATCTTGGCATTTTTAGGGATCCCAAAATCATAAATCACTCTAGGACCCCATTTAAGAAGGAGAGGACCGTTGGGATGCCAAAGTGGTTAATATTGCAAAGGTATAGGTAAATATATAACATCTATGAGATTCATAATAGCAGGTTTTATTACGAATGTGATGAAATTGGATATTCACATATTTACCACCATAATGGTTAGATTTCATATAGAAAAGAAAATTTTATGAATTTTTACGACATTTGTGAATAATTTACGATTATTTGAAGATTATTTACGAGTTTTGTGGATAAGCTTACAAGTATTGAGGAGTATTTACTACTTCTATAGTAAATTTTATAACATTTGTAGGTACTTTATGACACTTAAGGTTCCGTTTACGAGACAGGTGAGGTAAATGAAAACATATGAGGAAGGACTTAACTAGAAAAGAGGATAACTTTATGAGGCTTAAGGAACATTTTACTGGAGTTCAAGGTTTTGTTCCAATTTGTTTGGATAAGGTTACGAGTTCCATTGGTAAATATATAACATCTACGGGAGTCATTATAGTATGTTTTATTACGAATGTGGTGAAAAGAGATATTCATAATTTTAGTCAATGTGCATCCAAATGTGTTATTATGCTATACAATTGCCTGAGGACTTAGAGGAGATTCGAAGACGTAATGATACACGCAAGGCAACACAAGTTTCATCATCACGTCACAAAGTTAATGAGACTGTGTCGGACTTAAATTTTGGTGTTGTCGATCCCAAGACAGTGACAACTAAAGCAAATTCGGGGCATTTAAGAAAGAACCTTTCAATAGCTCTGCAAAGATGTAGTAAATGTTGGTTCACCGGACATGCTATTCGTAAGTGTCCGCAACTTACATGTCATGGGGATGGTCCACACTAAGACATACCCTTCTCACAACTTGGTGTCTCCCAACAGCCAATGTCACCAACTCAAGAAGACTATTAGAATCCTACTTAAAATTATAGTGTCCTCCAATACCAGGTTCATACACTATCACCTTTTAATTACTTTGAAAAATTCAATACATACCAACATGGTTTAGATATCCATTTTTTTAACAGCAAGTGATCCCTGATTTTGATTCAAATGTGCATGAGCAGTACATTAATACTTGTTTAAACAATGTCAAGGTGAGCATGACTATATGTGCTTTTTCATTGCCTTATTTTATTTGGTACTAACTATTCACGATTTCATTAGCATATTGTACTCAATACTTCTTGCAGTGTTAACATGTACGCATTTGGGCATTGGACAAATC